CATTGTGACAACAGGAAATCTCCCACGAATGGTGATATATTGTACGAGCTTGAACGCAAAATTACCGTGGCTGAACTAACAATTAAGGTACATTCCAGATATTTTAGAAACTGTGGGTTATTTTCTCTTTTATTCAAGCTAGCATGTCAGTTTCGTTACGGCAAACAACATATTTATTTTTATTTTATATAATTTTTTTCGGACTACTATTGAATTCTGCTACATTCATTTCAACATGGGATTGTTCTGTTCATATTTAAGAGGGATAGAGCACAAGCGGTCGTTTTCACAGCCTAATGGTCGGGCGGGCAGTCAGCCATGCTCTCGAGTAGCCTCTGTGGTTAGTGAGCGTGTATGGATGAAATGTGTTTGTCTCTTTGTCTGCCTGTCTCTCTCTAACGGACTCCACTATCAACGCGACAAGCCCAAAACTGATAGCCAAGAAATAGTCAGCTGGATTAAGCATATTCCTTCCGCCGCCCACGCTCTCCTTTCACACGTCGTACACCGTGCATTCGAACCCTACACTATACGACTTAACAGAGACATTTTCATATCTTTTAAATGAAAATGAATCTCTAGTCATTTCTTCAAACCAGTAACTAATTTGTTTCTTTACTCCAGCCAACTTCCACCTCGGTTCATTCTCACGTTTGATGAAACCAATTTCAAGGCACTCAATGTGAATCATTTAAACGGTCAAACTGGAATTTTTTAATGCGTATTTTTTAACACACTCAATATACAATTCCCATACGGAGAAGGATGCTTTGTATTATCATTATTATTATTATTAAATAAAAATAAATTATAAAATAACAACAATAATAAAAATTATAAATAAAATAAGCAATAACATAAAATCGCTGCATAAATAATTTAAATAAAAATTAAAAATAATAAAAATACACTCAGCATACAACAAAAACCGTTCCTGTCAGGAATACAGATATCCCTCCAAAAGCCATTAAAACTAACCTCTTCGCCACGAACTTTGGTACGGGCAACATGTGTCCGACTTCTCTCTGCGTCTAATAACACGGAATAATTTCTCCCTTTCATCGCATGAACCATAAAATAATTGTAACTTAAAAATTACACATACCATTACACACAAAAATATAGATAAATTGTAAGAAAGTAACATACAATTTACCATGTTTTTCCTGTTATTTGTGTACGCTTTATTTCCTGTCAAGTATGCTTTTATCTCCGTGAACACAAAGCTAATTTCTGCTGCTGGGATGTGAGTGAATCCACCATAACATTTTGTTGATCTATTCGTTCTCATCTTATTTAATATTGGCTGCTTCTCTTTTATTGCAACAGCCTCCAGAATAGGGGTCCGTATATTGAAATGTGTTTAAAGAAATAAATAAAAAATATAAAAAAATACGCATAAAAGTTTTAGTTGGACCATTTAAATGACGTCACCTTGAGTGGCTTCAAGTTGGTTCCATGAAACGTGAAAACGAGTTTAAGTTCAGTTTGCCAGAGTATGTCGTATAAACGTTTGTCATGTTTGGATTCGTTTTCAGAGTTTTTAATATCAAACGAGACAAGAACAAAGTTTAACTCACGTACAACAAATAACAGTTTTTTATTGTGAAAGAAAACACAAAGAAATTAAGTACAAAAATGTGTTGAATGTGAATATTTCTTTTGTGGATATTTAAAGTTCAATTGTTGCCAAAGAAAAAGGATTAAGTATTGTTTGTTACTTAAGTTTTTTTCTCCTGCTTTTATTTCAAATGATCTTTGTCTTTTGCGAGAAGTAATGGCTTTTGTTAATTGACAACGTGACAGACAAGGTTTTGTGAAAAGTAACATGAAGATTTTGATAATTTCAAACAGGTTGTGTGTGAGCACGCGAGAAATATTTAAGATTAATTTCTTTTGGTGTAAGCATAAAATAATGTAGCGTCTGGGGGTGTCTTTGATGTTGGTGGTGAAATATCGTTCAGCAACAGCGAAGAGAAAAAGAGGCCTTCGCCAGCGTAGTCATGCAGTACAGAGTGGCCCGAAAGTCTTGTCTTACCAAAGCATAATGGGAATAAAACAAGTAATATAGTAACACAAAGCACATGTACTAGATTCAGACACTATTTACATTATTCGGACTATTGTCCTCATCTTTGTCGACATATTTATTACAACGTTTCGGCCGTTGTACGCTCCGGCCTTCTTCAGGTGGTTGGCATGTCGAACTGACCCCTTTATTTCGCTCACTGGGGTAGACTGTTCTAGTTCCACGTACCATGTTTAATGGATGTCAGTTATCAGCTATCTCCTTTTAATTCCCCTCTGCAAGTTCTCCACTGCCTTAGCCGAGTATTGAACTCACACTCTTTGGGTCCTGTCACTGGATCTAACTAACGCCTTTATCCCCTGTGCCATGTGTCCTTGAGGATCAATACCTCTGTGTATGAATATAGTGCAACTATGATGAGCAGACCTTAGTTACAGTTTCTAGGAATACAGTTTCTAGCGCATTATCTGGCATGTTCAGCAGTCTGGACAAGGCCTTAAACCCTCAGTCACGATGACTTGCGACTTCGTGCTAGCACAATCATTGACGCCCCCCAAACAGTTCCGTCTGCTGAATTTCAATTTCAAGACAAGGCTTGGGTCAACCCATACTATGCTTTTCAGTCACTTGTTGGGGATCATTTCCCCAACATCAAGAAGTCACCTTCCTGCTAAATTCGAATCCGAGTTTCATGATTGGAAAGCGAACGTTCTAATCAAGCGGCCATGTGCTCATATACACAAAATATTAATACACCAATAAAATCATCCAAGACAACAACAATCTTACAATCTTAGGACACGTCAGAGCATAGGAAAAAAAGCCCTTATTCTGGGAGTCCAATTTATCCTATCAACACAAATAAGACCCAAGATTGTCAATATCTCCTAAACGGCAGGTTTCCGCAAATTTTTAATGCTGTTTTTGGAATATTCAGGCTTTTTTACACCAGAAATGGTGCTTCTTTTTTAAATTGGTTTCTGGGTCCTAATTTGCAATTTTACCACTCTTTGATTGTCTTTCCGCCTCACCTGCTATCCTCTTCTGCCACACCTATGAGATGCGCTGCATCATTTGGGGACCACTGGCCTAGGGGGAAACCATCATTAGATCTGGCGTGCTTTAGACTTCTCGGCTATGGAGTGTATCAATGGTCAAGCAAAGGTGAATAGTGCCTTTAAACACAGATTTTTCTCTCTCTCGAAATAGGCATATCTGCTCAATTTCATATCCTAACGTAAATAAAGCAATTTCTAAAGAAAGGGATGGATTATTTTTATCTATTAATCCGACAGATTTTATTAGTTAAACGTTATTTTTAGTGGATACTTATATTTGGGTAGACCTCCAATTTATTTATTAAACAGTATTTATTTATTTTCGTTTACCAGCCTAAATATTTGAGAAATCATATTAGAGAAAAATATGTGCTCTCCGGCAGGATTCGAACCTGCATTCCCCAAGACAGTTGAACGCAATGCAACAATCAGTACGCAGTTCAGACAACAGTCAAACACAGACTAGACATAAAATCCCAATTGAACTGAATGAAAAAAAACAACGCACCGTATTCAACTCTCCCTAACCACAGAAATAATTACAACCGCCAACTGCTTCTATAGTCTAACTTCTCCCCTGAAGAAGCTTTTGATCTTCACGTGATCTCCATTTGATCCGCCACAAAAAATGTCAAATTTTAACAAATCAACTCTATGTGTATTCTACATTCAGCCATAATAATTATAATTTACAAGAACACTTTCGCGTATTAACAAGATTAACATAAAAGATTCCATTACATTTACATTCTGCCATCTTTCTTTTTTCTTTTTTTTAATTGGTATGACCCATGCAAGGTGGTAAAGCTACTAAGACACAAAAGGGGTTACAGGATGTGGAAGAATTAAGAGCAGAAACATTAATAATGAGCGGGAAGAAGAAAGAGTAATCCGGAGGACAGTAGATAGCGATTGGCATTGCATTTAAATTTTTGCAAGGGAGGAAAGCCACTAAGACACAAGGGGTTACAGGATGTAGAAGAATTAGGAACAGAAACAGCGGGAAGAGGAAAGAGTAATCAGGAGGACGGAAGATAGTGATTGACATTGCATTTAAATTTTTGCAGATTAATTTTGACTGGAAAACATGAAACCGGAAGGGAGTTCCACAAGCAAGAAGTGTGAGAAAAGAAACTGTTACACTATTTACATTATTCGAACTATTGTCTTCATCTTTGTCGCCATATTTATTACAACGTTTCGGCCGTTGTACGCTCCGGCCTTCTTTAGATGGTTGGAATGTCGACCTGAACCCTTTATTTCGCTCACTGGGGTAGACTGTTCTAGTTCCACGTGCTATTTCTAATGGATGTCAGTTATCAGTTATCTCCTGTTAATTACCCTCTCCAAGTTCTCTACCGCCTTAACCAGGTATTGAACCCACACTGTATGGGCCCCTGTTACTGGGTCTAACGCCTTTATCCACCGTGCCATGTGTCCTATAGACAGATACTGAAGAAACTGTTAGTATAGAATTTACTGTTACATCTATCCATCTTAACTGTAAATTAATGAGATCTCTGAGCTTAAAGTCAAGTAAATATCCTTACTATCATGAATGGACGGAGCCATTCATGATAAATAGTTTTGAATAACTGTCGAGTTAAGTGCTGTACCATGCCAGACCCCACAGCACAACAAAAACTTGATCTACCAACTTTTTCAGTTGTAACTAACCATTTCAAATTAGTTTTACACAGAAATCAGCATATTTAAAACCATATTAATGTCTAGAGTCGTGCGGTTGTTTAAAGTTACATTGCAGTCAACAATGAAGACACAGAAATACCAGAAATCCTGCGTGATCGCACAAAAAAAGGGTAAGAAAATTTATCCTCTTTTCATCAAATACAATGAGATAACAGAGGGTGTTAAATGTCTTGATTGAGATTGGCACAAAGTCTCATAATTTTATGCCTGACATTCTTTTTCTTTCTCTCATTCTGTCACTTGAAACCCATGTCCATGTTTCTCTTGCTTTCTCTCGGCGTACCACCCATGTCCATGTTTCTCTTGCTTTCTCTCGGCGTACCACCCATGTCTATGTTTATCTTACTTTCTCTCGGCGTAGCCCCCATGTCCATGTTTCTCTTACTTTCTCTCGGCGTAGCCCCATGTCCATGTTTCTCTTACTTTCTCTCGGCGTAGCCCCCATGTCCATGTTTATCTTCCTTCGTCTCGGCGTAGCCCCCATGTCCATGTTTATCTTCCTTCGTCTCGGCGTAGCCCCCATGTCCATGTTTATCTTACTTTGTCTCGGCGTACCGCCCATGTCCATGTTTATCTTACTCTCTCTCGGCGTACCGCCCATGTCCATGTTTATCTTACTTTCTCTCGGCGTTCCACCCACGTCCATGTTTCTCTTACTTTGTCTCGGCGTAGCCCCATGTCCATGTTTATCTTACTTTCTCTCGGCGGAGCCCCCATGTCCATGTTTATCTTACTTTCACTCGGCGTAGCCCCCATGTCCATGTTTATCTTACTTTCTATCGGCTTACCGCCCATGTCTATGTTTATTTTACTTTCTCTCGGCGTACCGCCCATGTCCATGTTTATCTTGCTTTCCCTCGGCGTACCACCCATGTCCATGTTTCTCTTACTTCGTCTCGGCGTAGCCCCCATGTCCATGTTTCTATTACTTTCTCTCGGCGTAGCCCCCATGTCCATGTTTATCTTACTTTCTATCGGCGTACCGCCCATGTCTATGTTTATCTTACTTTCTCTCGGCGTAGCCCCCATATCCATGTTTATCTTACTTTCTATCGGCGTACCGCCCATGTCCATGTTTCTCTTACTTTCTCTCGGCGTAGCCCCCATGTCCATGTTTATCTTACTTTCTATCGGCGTACCGCCCATGTCCATGTTTCTCTTACTTTCTCTCGGCGTAGCCCCCATGTCCATGTTTATCTTACTTTCTCTCGGCGTTCCACCCATGTCCATGTTTCTCTTACTTTGTCTCGGCGTAGCCCCCATGTCCATGTTTATCTTACTTTCTCTCGGCGTAGCCCCCATGTCCATGTTTATCTTACTTTCTCTCGGCGTTCCACCAATATCCATGTTTCTCTTACTTTGTCTCGGCGTAGCCCCCATGTCCATGTTTATCTTACTTTCTCTCGGCGGAGCCCCCATGTCCATGTTTCTCTTACTTTCTCTCGGCGTAGCCCCCATGTCCATGTTTATCTTCCTTCGTCTCGGCGTAACCCCAATGTCCATGTTTATCTTCCTTCGTCTCGGCGTAGCCCCCATGTCCATGTTTATCTTACTTTGTCTCGGCGTACCACCCATGTCCATGTTTCTCTTACTTTCTCCCGGCGTAGCCCCCATGTCCATGTTTATCTTACTTTTTCTCGGCGTACCGCCCATGTCCATGTTTATCTTACTCTCTCTCGGCGTACCGCCCATGTCCATGTTTATCTTACTTTCTCTCGACGTTCCACCCATGTCCATGTTTCTCTTACTTTGTCTCGGCGTAGCCCCATGTCCATGTTTATCTTACTTTCTATCGGCGTACCGCCCATGTCCATGTTTCTCTTACTTTCTCTCGGCGTAGCCCCCATGTCCATGTTTATCTTACTTTCTCTCGGCGTACCGCCCATGTCCATGTTTATCTTGCTTTCCCTCGGCGTACCACCCATGTCCATGTTTCTCTTACTTCGTCTCGGCGTAGCCCCCATGTCCATGTTTCTATTACTTTCTCTCGGCGTAGCCCCCATGTCCATGTTTATCTTACTTTCTATCGGCGTACCGCCCATGTCTATGTTTATCTTACTTTCTCTCGGCGTAGCCCCATATCCATGTTTATCTTACTTTCTATCGGCGTACCGCCCATGTCCATGTTTCTCTTACTTTCTCTCGGCGTAGCCCCCATGTCCATGTTTATCTTACTTTCTATCGGCGTACCGCCCATGTCCATGTTTCTCTTACTTTCTCTCGGCGTAGCCCCCATGTCCATGTTTATCTTACTTTCTCTCGGCGTTCCACCCATGTCCATGTTTCTCTTACTTTGTCTCGGCGTAGCCCCCATGTCCATGTTTATCTTACTTTCTCTCGGCGTAGCCCCCATGTCCATGTTTATCTTACTTTCTCTCGGCGTTCCACCAATATCCATGTTTCTCTTACTTTGTCTCGGCGTAGCCCCATGTCCATGTTTATCTTACTTTCTCTCGGCGGAGCCCCATGTCCATGTTTCTCTTACTTTCTCTCGGCGTAGCCCCCATGTCCATGTTTATCTTCCTTCGTCTCGGCGTAACCCCAATGTCCATGTTTATCTTCCTTCGTCTCGGCGTAGCCCCCATGTCCATGTTTATCTTACTTTGTCTCGGCGTACCACCCATGTCCATGTTTCTCTTTACTTTCTCCCGGCGTAGCCCCATGTCCATGTTTATCTTACTTTTTCTCGGCGTACCGCCCATGTCCATGTTTATCTTACTCTCTCTCGGCGTACCGCCCATGTCCATGTTTATCTTACTTTCTCTCGACGTTCCACCCATGTCCATGTTTCTCTTACTTTCTCTCGGCGTAGCCCCATGTCCATGTTTATCTTACTTTCTATCGGCGTACCGCCCATGTCTATGTTTATCTTACTTTCTCTCGGCGTATCCCCCATGTCCATGTTTATCTTCCTTCGTCTCGGCGTAGCCCCCATGTCCATGTTTATCTTACTTTCTCTCGGCGTTCCACCCATGTCCATGTTTATCTTACTTTCTCTCGGCGGAGCCCCCATGTCCATGTTTCTCTTACTTTCTCTCGGCGTAGCCCCCATGTCCATGTTTATCTTCCTTCGTCTCGGAGTAGCCCCCATGTCCATGTTTATCTTACTTTGTCTCGGCGTACCACACATGTCCATGTTTCTCTTACTTTCTCCCGGCGTAGCCCCCATGTCCATGTTTATCTTACTTTTTCTCGGCGTACCGCCCATGTCCATGTTTATCTTACTCTCTCTCGGCGTACCGCCCATGTCCATGTTTATCTTACTTTCTCTCGGCGTTCCACCCATGTCCATGTTTCTCTTACTTTGTCTCGGCGTAGCCCCATGTCCATGTTTATCTTACTTTCTCTCGGCGTAGCCCCCATGTCCATGTTTCTCTTACTTTCTTTCGGCGTAAACCGCTCTTCCCCATGTTCATGTTACTTTTACTTAATTTTTTTTTTACAGTAAGGTTCACCCTTGACAAGGCCAGAGGGCCACTCCAGGTAGAGGGTTACGTTCGGAGTGGAAGATAATGGTTGATCTTAGCTAAGTTAAGATAGTAGTGACCGGGGAAACATTCCCTTGGGAGTCAGTTCCACGAAGCTGTTAAAATGGAACTTACTTCACTCTGATGGAATATGGGTGTTTTGCTATTATGTAAGTGGCATGGCGTGTCTTTGCCGTCAAAGTTTGAATTGTCATGACCAGGGAATGTAGTTCGTCCGAGCACTTTCCATGAAAGTAGTGACAGAGCAGCGAGATTTGCCATATCCTGCCTGTAGCAGAAAGGTTGGAGGATGGAAAATAATTCATCACCCACAAGGACGCAGAGACGCTTTTGAAAATTATCAGGTCAGTAGAACTGGCATGTCAAATAAGCAGCCCGCGTGCTGGATGTGGCCCTTTACAAGCACACCATTGGCCCACACAAAGAATACTAATTTGGCCATTTAACGGCTAAAATATGAGTTTTTATAATTTAAAAATTACCGTATTTAAGAAAATAAATAATGTTTTTTTTTTGTTTTTTTTTTTTTGCATTTTGATTTTATTTAATAGAATACCAAATAAATAAGAATAGTCATTATTTATATTATTACTATTGTCCTCATCTTTGTCGCCATATTTATCACAACGTTTCGGCCGTTGTATGCTCCGGCCTTCTTCAGGTGGTTGGAATTTCGAACTGAACCCTTTATTTCGTTCACTGGGGTAGACTGTTCTAGTTCCACGTGCCATGTTTGATGGATGTCAGTTATCGGTTATCTCCTGCTAATTTCCCTCTGAAAGTTCTGCACTGCCTTAACCGGGTATTGAACTCACACTCTTTGGGTCCTGTCACTGGATCTAACTAACGCCTTTATTCACTGTGCCATGTGTCCTTGAGGTACAACGGCCGAAACGTTGTGATAAATATTGCGACAAAGATGAGGACAATAGTCCGAATAATGTAAATAATGTACATAATACCTCATCTCAGAAATATAGACAGACTCCAAATAAGAATAGCATTTACTGCATAAATTTATTTAAAACAATTTTAATTTTGTCGGAGTTAGTGAGAAAGTTGGACTTTAATTAAGTTCAAAGAAGACAAGGAAAAACAAACACAAGATCGATAAATATATGTAAACAAATATATGTATTAATAACAAGAAAGATTACAAGTTTTATGGACAGTTACATGGACAGAGTGCGTGTGGTGAATATCATGTGTGTGTGTTGTGGTGAGTGTCCATACGTACGTGTATTGTTCTTAGCGTGTTCCCAGAATTTGGGAAACGCTGTATCTGTGAGAGCTCACATATTGTTGTTAGCTGAAAAGAGATTTACCTCAAGGTGGCGGCACAAAGGCCTGAGGAAAAAAGAGGTCGAGGCGAAGGGTCAGCGTGTATTTATAGACAGGGGAGAGAGACCCCTGTTGAAGGATTACGGAACTAAAGGAGGAGCTAACTCCGACAATATTATTGATAAACTTTTTGTTAGTACGATGCTAAGCTATTATTTAAAAAAATTGTAGCAAATATTCGATATTCTTGTTGGCTGAGAAAATAGTGCGGTAACAAATTCTCTCTAGTAGACGAAGAACATCAAAAAGTTGCTTTGCTGGCAAATCGGCCACAGTGAGAATCAAACCTGAGTCCCAAGGTCAGAAATCTAACATACTAACCACTCTGCCATAGGCCCATAATATCACTTATGTTAGCCTCTATTTTTGTGAAAAGAAGCATAATCTTATAACGTATGACTCATGAAGGAAGTGAATATGACTTTGTGTTAGAGAGTGCAATCTTTTTTTTTTTCCTTTTAATCAGAATTATCTTTTAGGTGACCATTCAGAGTGAAAATTAACCAAGTTACTGGATTTTGAGATAACGTTAGTTTTTATCTGAACTTATTTAAACAAGGCATCCATTTTTCTTTAAATGCCAGACTTTTAACAAGTGCAAAATCCGAGTCTAGAGCCACGTTTTTTTTTTTTTTTACTTTTTATTTATTTTTGGCTTGCTCAGACGACTTTGTTTTTAAAAGGCAGTTTGAATAGCTTCAGTGTAATGTAAGTGAAATGAAGATGAAAGAAATCCTAGTCCAAAATGAATAATGCTTGACAATGCTTCATCTAATGAAAATTGCAGATAATATTACTACTACTAATACTACTAGTGGAAATAAAGCAATTGAAATGAAGATGAAAGAAATCCTAGTCCAAAATGAATAATGCTTGACAATGCTTCATCTAATGAAAATTGCAGATAATATTACTACTAC